ATGTCACACCCATCAGGGGAATGCAGCAGCTGCTGTGCAGGCCTGACCTCAGAAATGCAGATGTGTCCCTCACAGCGCACAGAACGCCTGGAATGTTCATGACGCCATCACACTCAGAGCGTGCACGTATCACCCAGAATGCCCGTGATACAGTCAGACTAACCCAACACCCACCACACTCATATGACCCCTGGAACATGCATGTGTCCCTCAGAGCACACACGTAACACCTGGAATACCCATGACACTGTCAGACTAACCCAACACCCGACACATTCTTATAACCCCTGGAACATGCATGTGTCCCTCAGAGCACACACATATCACCCGGAATACCCATGACACTGTCAGACTAACCCAACACCCGACACATTCTTATAACCCCTGGAACATGCATGTGTCCCTCAGAGCACACACATATCACCCAGAACACCCATGACACTGTCAGACTAACCCAACACCCACCACACTCATATGACCCCTGGAACATGCATGTGTCCCTCAGAGCACACACATATCACCCGGAATACCCATGACACTGTCAGACTAACCCAACACCCACCACACTCATATGACCCCTGGAACATGCATGTGTCCCTCAGAGCACACACATATCACCCAGAACACCCATGACACTGTCAGACTAACCCAACACCCACCACACTCATATGACCCCTGGAACATGCATGTGTCCCTCAGAACACACACGTAACACCCAGAACACCCATGACACAGACTCAGAGTTCACATGTCACCCAGAACGCACAAGTGACACCATCAGGTTAACTCAACACCCATCACACTCGTATAACCCCCAGGACATGCACGTGTCCCTCAGAACCCATAATGCCTGGAATGCCTGTGACAGCGTCAGACTCACAGCGCATATATCACTTGGGATGCACAAGTGACACCGTCAGATTAACCCAACACCCGTCACACTCACGTAACACCCGGAATATGCATGTGTCCCTCAGAACAAACACGTAATGCCCGGAATGCTTGTGACACCGTCAGACTAACAAAACACCCGTCACGCTCATATAAACTCTAGAACATGCATTTGTCTCTCAGAGCGCACACATCACCTGGAACACCCATGACACCGCCAGACTATCACAGCACCCATCATACGCATATAACCTCTAGAACACACGTGTCCTTCAGAACACACATACTGCATGGGACACAGACATGGTCTTTGGAGCCCATTCATAGCACCTGCAGCACTAAGGATGGGACCCTCCGGCTCCCACTGGGTTCACAGCCTCTGCTGGGCTGGGTTTGGGCTGCATTTGGCCTCTGTTATGAAGTGTGATGCTGTTTCTGCCTTTCTGATGTGGTCTTGATACGGCTGTTCTAAAAAGCAGTTGACTTCCCAGTGACGTCATACTTCCGGGAAACCTGCAGGGCAGTTAGTATGACTTCTCCTCTCTCTCCGATTCCCCAGCAGTTTTTGCTGTGGCAGATTTGCAGCTTCACACAAAATATCCCCCGTGTGTTTCACCAAAAACAGGAACACTCCTCCAGGTGACCCCATATAACCCCCAAATCTGGAAATACGCGGTTTCTTTTTTTGGAGATGGAGTCTTGCTCTGTTGCGAGGCTAGAGAGAACTTGTATGATCTAATCTCACTGCAAATTCCACCTCCCAGGTTCAAGGGATTCTTCTGTCTCAGGCTCCCCAGTAGCTGGGATTACAGGTGTGTGCCACCCTGCCTGGCTAATTTTTTTTTTTTTTTTTTTTTTTTGAGACAGAGTCTCATTCTGACACCAGGCTGGAGTGCAGTGGCACAATCTCGGCTCACTGGAACCTCTGCCTCCCGGTTCAAGTGATTCTTCCATCTCAGCCTCCTGAGCAGCTGGGACTACAGGCATGCACCACCACGTCTGGCTAATTTTCGTATTTTTTCTTAGTAGAGATGGGGTTTCAGCATGTTGACCAGAATGGTCTCAATCTCTTGACCTCGTGATTCTCCTGCCTCGGCCTCCCAAAGTGCTGGGATTACAGGCATGAGCCATCATACCCAGCTGAAAATACACGGTTTCTATGAGAAAGTCCAGTCAACAGACCTATTTCACTACACTGCCTGCCCCAGCTGGGAGAAAAATGTCTCTTTCCATGGGGGCCCAATTTTCCTTTTTGGGAACTGTTCCTGAGGCTCTCAATATTTTTTTGAGATGAAATTTCACTCTTGTTGCACAGGCTGTAGTGCAATGGTTCGAGAGATTCTCCTGCCTCAGTCTCCTGAGTAGCTGAAATAACAGGCATCCACCACCATGCCTGGATAATTTATTTCATTTTTCATAGAGACAAGGTTTCACCATGTTGGCCAGGCTGGTCTCAAACTCCTGACTTCAGGTGATCCACTCACCTCTCCTTCCCAGAGTGCTGGGATTATAGGCATGAGCCACCGTGCCTAGCTGACTGTTTTCACAGCCTTGACAGATGTAAAGAGCAGAGATGACTCCACGCTGGGTGTACTCAGCCTTTCCTCCTGAACAGGTGCAGACCCTGCATTCCCGGTAGGAATCCCTGGCCTGGTGCTGCATTCTCCTCAGTGCAGCCCACCTGGAGGAGCTTCCATCCATCCCACCAACACTTGGTAATGGCAAAAGATTGATTTACAACCACAAATTTCATCCTGTCAAGCTCTGGACTTAACTCTGCCAATGGTTTCCCAGTGGCCTTAGCACCACTGGGAAATCCCGAGTGCTCCTGCCTGCTGCCCTCTCTCGTCCAGTCTGCTACCGCTGCCTGCAGTCCCACTCACAGGTACATGGGCTCCTGGGTGTCTCGGGGATTTTATGTGTGTTCCCTCACCCCATTCACCCACTGCCCACCCTAGTTTTTTTAAGGCTTTTTCTAGAGAAGTCTGTAAAGTCATAGGAGTTATGTTATCTAAAAGTAGAAAAGTTAATAATGTGATTTTTCTAAAGACAAGGAAATAATCCGTTATTTATTAGATCATCTGTGAGATGACCCTCAAGGTTTTTTTTGGAGATGGAGTCTCCCTGTGTTGCTCAGGCTGGAGTGCAGTGACATAATCTCTGCTCACCATAGCCTCCACCTCCCGGGTTCAAATGATTCTCCTGCCTCAGTCTCCTGAGTAGCTGGGATTACAGGTAGCCACCACCATACTCAGCTAATTTTTGTATTTTTAGCAGAGATTGTGTTTCACTACATTGGCCAGGCTAGTCTCGAACTCCTGACCTTGTGATTCACCTGCCTCTTCCTCCCAAAGTGATGGGGTTACAAGCATGAGCCACTGTGCTCAGCTACCCTCAATTTATAAATCAAGAAAATGCTAATTCCCTGGAACCAAAGTTTATGTTTAAGATAATTAGGAAAGAAAAATAAGATCTCAATGCTGAAACACAGGCAAATGTCACAGTCGATTATTGAAATTTCAGAGGGCTGGGTGCAGTGGCTTATGCCTATAATCCCAGCACTTTGGGAGGCTGAGATGGGCAGATCACTTGAGGTCAGGAGTTAGAGACCAGCCTGGACAAGATGGTGAAACCTTGTCTCTACTAAAAATACAAAAATTAGTCAGGCGTGGTGGGACACACTTGTATTCCCCACTACTCAGGAAGCTGGGGCAGGAGAATCGCTAAACCTGGGAGGTGGAGGTTGCAGTGAGCTGAGGTTGTGCCACTTCACTCCAGCCTGGGTAACAGAGGGAGACACTGTCCAGAAAGAAAAAAAAAGAAAGAAATTATAGAATTTAGTGGACAGATTATTACCTTGCTGTATTCTCTAGCCTTGTGTTAGCAGTTGCAAGGTAGTTTCTGTTTAAACATTTGTATTTTATCTAGTCAATCAAAATAACAAGAAGTCCTGTCCATATCATGATAAACTATATAAATATTTGCAAACCTCTTTACCTATACAATGGGAAATTGCTGAAGTAAGTGTAGATATTTTTTTTGAGATGGAGTCTCGCTCTGTTGCCCAGGCCAGAGTGCAGTGGCACAATCTCAGCTCACTGCATCCTCTGCCTCCTGGGTTCAAGTGATTCCCCTGCCTCAGCCTCCTGTGTAACTGGGACTACAGGTGAGGGCCACCACACTGGGCTAATTTTTTTATTTTAGTAGAGACGGGGTTTCATTACGATGGCCAGGATGGTCTTACACTCCCGACCTCATCCTCCTGCCTCGATCTCTTAAAGTGCTGGGATTACAGGTGTGAGCCACTGCATGCATCCATAAGTGTAGATATTTAAGCAAATGAATTATTAATATTTACATATTAAAATGAGTACAGGAATGTAATTATGTCACACGTCTGGTATGGGACTTTGAGGTCCCTCTGTTGCCTCCTGCTGGATGGCGAATTGTTGGCCTATGGAGACTGAAGGCAAAGCATATCTTCTTTCTTTCTTTTTTTTTTTTTGAGATGGAGTTTTGCTCTTGTTGTCCAAGCTGTAGTGCAATGGCACAATCTCAGCTAACTGCAATGTCCACCTCCTGGGTTCAAGTGATTCTCCTGCCTCAGCCTCCTGAGGAGCTGGGATTACAGGCATGCACCACCGCACCAGGCAAATTTGTATTTTTAGTAGAGATGTAATTTCTCCACGTGACCGGCTTGACCAAGGCTGGTCTCGAACTCCCGACCTCAGGTGATCTGCCTGCCTCAGCCTCCCAAAATGCTAGGATTACAGGCATGAGCCACCATGCCCAGCCTAATTTTACTTTCATAATTTATGACTATCAATTTATTTCTTACTATTTTGTGATATTCTATGTGTAATAAATGTTTAAGTAAGTAACATAAAAATAGAAATAATAATATAGAATACATCTTTTTCCCAATAAATAACCCAAAGTTTTCTTTGTTGTAAGATGAGGAATATAATTATATTTTTATCATTAATGCTTATACTTATTATTTGATGCAATAAAACTCTGAATCTAATTCAAATTAGTAAAATTGACATTTAACTTTGGCTTTTATCAAGAGGGCAGAATGAAGTGACTCCATAAATATCATGAGAATGTTTTAAAGACAGGAAATTAATTTTAATAATAAATACAAAACAATATCATGTTTGAATGATATTATAGAAAAGATAATTTGATAATTCAGAGAGGTCACTACTTACCATAAATAGATGCATATATAAAGAAACTGAAAAATATATATGTAATTGATCTTTAATAAAGATGAAAATTCTACTATTTTCAACAACACTGATGAACCCTGAAGACATTAGGCTAAGTGATATAAGCCAGACACAGAACGACAAGTACTGCATGATTTTGTATTTATGTGGAATCTTTAAAAAATTAGACTCATAGAAACAGAAGAATAATAATTACTACAGGCTAGGATGTGGGAGGGAATGACAAGGTATCAGTCAAAAGATACATACTTTCACCTATAAAATAAATAAATCCTGGGAATATGACATACAAATTGGTGACTAAACTTAGTTAATAATACTGTATACTTAAAATTTTTTCAAAATCAAATCTCAAGTAATCTTACCACACATACTCACACACACACAGACACATAAAGTAACTATGTAAAGTGATAAATACGTTAATTAGTTTAACCAAGGTAATTAAAAAATGTATACATGTCTCAAAGCATCATATTCTACATCCTAAAATATATACACTTTTAGTTTGTCAATTATACTCAACAAATGTTAAAAAAAAGTTAAAGGTAATTAACAAGTACTATCTAGCCACCTGTAAACTCCATTTAGAACCCTTTTCAACATCTTTCGGATTATTTAAAAAATCAAAATCCACATTATGTTTTTGACATCAGGGAAGTGATAATGAGAAATAATGGCAATTGTAGAAAAAAATCTGAATTAAGATAAATAAACCATATTAGCTTTATATTATATAAAACAGTAATTCTGGCTATATATTCATTGCAGTGGAGTATTTCTGAAATCTGTGGATAATACATATATAATACATACACAGTAGTAAAGAGTAATCACACTTCACAAATTACTACAATAGATGTATTGGGATGGAGGTCTTCTACATGAAGAAACTTGAGATTTCTCATGAGATGATGTTTTATGTCATAGACAATCTATGTGACATATTTTACTAATGTATGCAACTGTTGCCTATTTATGCTTTGCAAGAAAATAATATATATTTTTAAACATTTAATACTGATAATCAAAATTATCAACAAGTTAAAAAATCTGTATTATGCTAAATATAGTTGAAGAAAAATATGAGAAATTCCCAGGACCAGAAGTAAATGAAGGGATTAAACCAGAGGAACAGTCAACCTAAAAAGCACATGCTCTATTCAGATAGGACTAATCACAAGAACATCAGATTCACGTGGGTTGTTCAACTTTCAACAAGGCAAATGGAACCAGCAAAGAAATATACAGACTGGAGACATTCCAAATATGGTATCTTCCATATGTGAAAACTAAGTTATACATTATATTGCACATAATTAGATAAACTACCAACATGAAGAGTGAAAAGAAATTATATGGTACATAAACATCAGATATTTGGCTTATGTTAAAATATTTGTCATTACAATAAAAAAAAAAAACAGAAAACCAAAGTAAACAACAACAAAAAGTAAGCTTCTCAAATCATATCTGACAAAAAAGGAAATTGAAAGTAAGCGATTACAAATGTGGCGAAACCATGTAATGTGCAAAATACGGGTTGCATATTAAAATACACTGAGCTGAGGAGAGGCCAGTAAGGCAGAATACTAAGCAAAACTGATGTAGTTACATATTTTACAGAAGACAAGTTAATAGAGAATGAAACATATTTATACATAAAGGAAGACTGGATTGAGAAGAAATGAACACCTAATTGCTTTACTAGACTATATAAAAAATGAAAGGCAATATTTAAAGAATTGGTGATCAAATAGTTTCTCAAACTGAAAACCAGATATAAATGCTTTAAAAGTTTAGAAATGTAATGTATCAAAAAGAGACGAAAACACTTCTTAAGTGAAGTAATAGTTTGGCTATTATAATTAGTGCCGCAATAAACATGGGACTTTGACATACTGATTTTACTTCCTTTTGATATATACCAAGTATTGAAATTGCTGAATCATAGAGTAGTTCTATTTTTAATTTTTGGAAAACTCTCCACACTATTTTTTTCTAAACCAGAATAATAATCCGTGCAGCAACGTGAATGTGCCTGGAGGATATTATGTTAAGTGAAATATGCAGAGCATAGAGAGACAAACCTCACATGATGTCCTTTTTATGTGAAACTTAAACCTAACCTCATGGAAGTAGAGTAAAACGGTGGTTACCCGGCGGCTGGAAAGGGTGTGGAGAGGAGGAGATGAGAACAGGTTTGCCGATGAGTGCATTACCATTTAACAGAAAGAATAGGCTGGGCGAGGTGGCTCACACCTGTAATCCTAGCACGTGGGAGGCCGAGGTGGGTCAATCACCTGAGGCCAGGAGTTGGAGACTAGCCTGGCAGACATAGTGAAACCCATCTCTACTAAAAATACAAAAATTAGCCAGTCATGATGACATGTGCCTGTAATCCCAGCTACATGGGAGCCTGAGACACAAGAATTGCTTGAACACTGGAGGTGGAGGTTGTAGTGAGCTGAAATCATTCGACTGCACTCCAGCCTGGGTAACAGAACAAGGCTGTGTCTCAAGAAAAAAGAAAAAATTAATTTAAAAAACCCTCACAGAAAGAATAAATTTTTGTGTTCTATTACACAGTAAGTTGACTATAACTAGTAATAATATATTATAACATAGGTTAAGTTAGCTAGAAGAGAGAATTTTTATGCCCTAAGTGCATTCCAAAAAAAAAGAAAAGAATTTTATAGTTATCAGCACAGAGACATAACAAATGTTGAAAACAATGGATATGTTCATTATTCTCATTTTATCACTATACAATGAATAAATGCACTGAAATAACACTGTGGCCCGTAAATGTGTACAATTAGATGTCAATTTTAAATAAATCTTAATTTTAAAAAAGGTCAAACTTCATAAAACCAACATGAAAACAAGCTCATAAAAGCGGTGACAGCAAAATGTCTTACTTTTGTATTAAAGCCAGAAAAGAGAAAAAAAGTTAATAAAATATTAAAATAAAAGCTTCTACATGATATAGAAAACAATCAACAGAATGAAACAACAAACTACAGGCCAGGCATCGTGGCTCACGCCTGTAATTCCAGCACTTTGGGAGGCCAAGGCAGACGGACCACTTGAGGTCTGGAGTTCTCGACCAGTTTGGCTAACATGGTGAAACCCTGTCTCTACTAAAAATACAAAAAAGTAGCCAGGCGTAGTGGCAGGTGCCTGTAATCCCAGCTACTGGGAAGGCTGAGAGAGGAGAATCACTTAAGCCTGGGAAGTGGAGGTTGCAGCGAGCTGAGATCGAGCCACAGCACTCCAGCCTGGGTGACAGAGCGAGACTCTGTCTCAAAAAAAAAAGAGGGAGAAAATGTGCAAATTGTGCATCTGACAAGGAGTTAATATTCAAAATATATAAGGGGCTCAAATAACTCAACAGCAGAAATAATAATAATTACTCAAATTTAAAATGAGCAAAAACCTAAATAGATAGTTCTCAAAACAAGATATATATATATATATAGTCAACAGGTATATGAAAAAATGCTCGATATCACCAGTCATCAGAGAAATATAAAGTAATACAGTTGTTACTGAAATTAGCATGGTCATTACCAACAAGACGAAAGATAACAAGTGTTGGCAACATGTGGAGAAAAGGACACTTTTATGCACTGTTGGTCTGAATAAAAATGAATACAGCCGTTATGTAAAAGAGTAGCGGTTTCTCAGACTAAAAATAAAACTACTGTATGAAGCAGCAATCCCACTACCGAGCACATATCCAGAGGAAATAAAATCAGTTTGTTAAAGAGATACCTTTGCTCTCATATTTATCACAGCACTACTGACAATAGCCAAACTATGGAATAATCATAGTATGCATCAAGGGACAAACAGATAAAGAACACATGGCATAGAAACCCATATGAAATGCTATTTCTCAACACAAACAACGAAATCCTGCCATGGAAAACAACACAGATGGGCTGGGCACAGGGGCTCACGCCTGTAATCCCAACACTTTGGGAGGCCAAGGCAGGTGGATCACCTGAGGTCAGGAGTTCGAGACCAGCCTGGCCAACATGGTGAAACCCCATCTCTACTAAAAATATAAAAATTAGCGGGGCATGGTGGCAGGTAATCCCAGCCACCCGGGAGGCTGAGGCAGGTGAATCGCTTCAACTCGGGAGACGGAGGTTGCAGTGAGCCAAGATTGCACCACTGCACTCCAGCCTGGGAGACAGAGCAAGACTTCGTCTCATAAAAAATAAAATTAAATAAAACAAAACAACATAGATAGACCTGGAAAACATTATGTTAAGTGAAAAAAAAAAAAAAACAGGTATAGTAAGACAAGTACGAAAAGATTTTACCACAGTGGGATCTAAAAAAGTTGATCTCATAAAAGTAGAGACCAAAATGGTAGTTCCCAGACCCTAAGGTGATTAGAGAGTAGGGGAGGATAAAAAGATTTGGCCAAAGGGAACATAATTACAATTATATCAGAGAAATAAATTCAATGAGATCTTTTAAACAGCGAGGTGGCTATGGTTAATGATGAGATCGTACAGTCTTGAAAAGTGTGAAGATAGTGGATGTTAACTGTTTTCACCACAAAATAACTTGGATAACACATTAGTTAATTACATGTAATGATTTTACAATCTATATGTACTTTGAAACCTTTGTTGTGCATAATTTAAAAATGAATTTTGAAAGCATGCTTAGAAAAATTATTTGTCTGGACACGGTGGCTCATGCCTGTAATCCCAGCACTTTGAAAGGCCAAGGTGGGCATATTACTTGAGGTTAGGAGTTCAAGACCACCCTGGCAAACATGGTGAAACTAATCTCTACTAAAAATACAAAAATTAGCTGGATATGGTGGTGGGCACCTGCAATCCCAGCTACTCAGGAGGCTGAGGCAGAATTGCTTGAACCCAGGAGGTGGAGGTTGCAGTGAGCTGAGATTGTGCCACTGCACTCAAGCCTGGGCAACAAGAGTGAAACTTCGTCTCAAAAAAAAGAAAAAACAATATTTTCCTGTATAAAGGTAAAGTTGAAATTAAGAAGTGAGAGACATGCTTTGGGGATATTAAATCATGGGGGACACTGAACTGAGGGCACCATATAATTCTTAATGGTGTACTCTAAGCAAATTTAAAAAATACTAAGATAGGCTGGGCGCAGTGGCTCACACCTGTAATCCAGCATTTTGGGAGGCTGAGGTGGACAAAGTACTTGAGATCAGTAGTTCAAGACCAGCCTGACAAATAGGTGAAACCCTGCCTTTACTAAAAATACAAAAAAAAAAAAAAAAAAAAAGCTGAGCATGGTGGCACATGCCTGTAATCCCAGCTACTTGAGAGGTTGAGGCAGGAGACTTGCTTGAACCCTGTAGGTGGAGGTTGCAGTGAGCTGAGATTGCACCACTCCACTCCAGCTGGGATGACAGAGCAAAACTCAGTCTAAAAAAAAAAAAAAAAAAGATATTACAAAAGTGCAATTCCACATTTTATTTAAATCAGATAGCAAAGTCTGTGTTTTTCAATAATTTCATTGATGACAACAAAATAACTTTTAGAAAAATTTATCACTAACTTTTAAAAAATGGATGGCAATTCCAATGAACCTCTGGCAGAATATCGATGATTCTTTTATCAGATCTGATTAGCACCGTAGGACTGACAGTGGCAGAGGCATTGAACATCAGCCTGTTGACCCTGTAGTTGATAGGACTGTATACCCATAACAGCATTGTGGAGGATGAGACAATAAAGTCCGGTGAGTATGCAACCACAGAGAAACTCACCAGCAGCAGGATGGTCTCGGTGGCCCTTTTCTAGGGAGGTTCTTAATAAAAAGCTGTTGCTGTGAAGGTGCTGGGAGCGCCTCTGATGCCTGGACAAGAAAATCACCATGTATGCACTTGACTTGAGAGCAGCGTGATTCCTACAAAGAAGACGTCTCTAGATAACGACAGAGTCTTAAACAGCCTCCTGATGATCACATTCATTGGGGAAAGTGAGCAGTATTTATTGACATTCAGAATTATCTGGGTCACATTGGAAAAACCTACAATATAGATGATCATGCCACTATTGAAAGACAAATTGAGGGACCAAAAAAAGAATAAACCCGGGATATTGTATTTTGTGATTTTATGTTTAAATCTCACCAACCAGGAAGTGCTGGGGCTTATGGTGATGGCCTGAAGCATGCTTGGGAGCGAGGTGGTGCAGATGGAGAGGCCCCTCATTACCTTGTATGTTTAGAACGAAGCCTTACATCTGAAGTTATTCTGAACATTTAGTGACTCAAACATGTCTGGAGACGATGACTCTGCTGCAATGACTAGCATCACTATGTGGACAAAGGCCAAGTGACAGATGACCAGGTCACGGTTTTTAGGCTTGTGGTCCTTAAAGAATGTGAAAATGTGCCAGAGGAGAAGAGAGCTGTTGGCTGAGATTCCAATGCCAGCTTGAAAACAAAAGACCCTTTTGAAAGATAACATCTGAAATGTGTGTTCATCCTAATGATGTAGAAGAAACATATTTGGAAGACCTGAAAAACAGATTTATGTCATCAGTGTTTTCATCAGTGTTCCAAATTATTACCATCGTCATCATCGTTTAGTCTCATTTTCCTGATTAACCCCATCTTATATAAATTCTTGATAATGTGTCTCCTGCACTACTTTCTAAACCAAATAAATATATACATATATAACTACTATGAATCTCTACATATAATAAATACACTTTCCAGTATGCCTGTATAAGGTGCATACTATCTATATTCCTCATGCACCTTGGCCTTCCACTCATTAATCATATCCTTGTTCCAGGTTCTCATTTATATTTAGCACTTCAGCAGCAGACATGTAAAATGAATAGTAATTGTACTGTGAAATCGAATTAAATGTATGTTAATATGAAGACTCACTAAAACAATTAAAAATATATTCAGTTGAGTCTTTCTCAGGATCTATCATTTTGATACAATTTATTCATCATCACTGTTCCATGGTTTTTGACCCTTGTGATTTTACTGGACTCACCATGATGATTCATGATATTTCATCAGCGTATTAGCAATTTTAATCTCATATGCACCCTTATATTCTCTTTGCCATTAATTGTAATGTATAATGTGATAGCTTGGAATTCAGATGTCAATATCCTTATAGGGACTGGGGGACATTATTCTGCTTAATCAAACCCTAATTTACTATATATGATACAGAAATGGTCCTGGCTGTCTCTCAGTTTAGTTCACATCTCAGAGGTCTATTATGTGATCTCTCTTTATTTCAGAACACATTTTTAAATATTTTCTTCTCCATTACCAACAAGATAAACACTAACTTTTTTTTTTTTGAGACAGAGTCTGTTGCTCAGGCTGGAGTGCAGTGGTGTGATCTCTACTCACTGCAACTTTGGCCTCCTGGGTTCAAGCAGTTCTCCTGCCTCAGCCTCCCAAGTGGCACCCACCACCACACCAGCTAATTTATATATTTTTAGTAGAGGCAATTTCACCATGTTGGCCAGGCTGATCTTGAACTTCTGACATCCCAAAGTTCTGGGATTACAGGTGAGGGCCACCGAGCCCAGCCACTATTTTGAATTACTTTGTTTCCACCATGAAGTTGCATCAAAATAGTCACACGTTGGTCTTCTTCCTGAGACTTCATTTAGTACAGAGATACTCTACCATGCCTAGAAAAATACTTGGTTTTCAATAAGAAAGATAATTTCTCTCAAGTTTTCTTGGGATAACTTCAATACTGTAACACCTTGTGACATTTTGCAGAACAGTCTGCTGTTACCATTTCATTTTATTTGGCCAAGATTCAGACATCATTTATCATTTTACTTTAATCCAGGGCTAAGAACGATTTTAGCTTCGTAACATTAAAAAAGTGAAACACCTTTTAATTCACTCAGATTTTTGTAATGAAAGTGTGTCTGTTTCAAGGTCACTTATCATTATACAATTTTATAAATAAAAATATATGAGATGATGCAAAAATGTTGACACTGAGTATCCTTGGATAATAATCAAAAATTAGTGACTGAAAAAAGTTGCTCTAAAACCATCAGATATGTTTGATTTTATAAAGGAAACATCTAGTTGATTAAATGGTTATTACTTTCTATAAAACTTTAATAAGTAAATGCATTTATCTTAGAAACAAACAATGAAAGATTTCCAGTAGCATACATCTACACCATCAGTGCAGTTAAGTTCTGCTGCCAAGTTAAAAATCAGAAAAAGAAAACAAAGTAACTCTAAATTAAAGACTTAATGGTATCTGAATTTTAAAGATCACACTTCAGTACTAGAAAAATGTATTTGAATATGAGATAATATATGTATGAGTTATTAACCATAAATCTGCATAGTTTTGTTAATATAACAAATATTACGAACCACACACCAAAAGAAGATATAGGGCAAACAATTAGGTTAAATAACACAGATAAGAATTTTAATTTTTTTTCACCCTAAAAAAACCCAGTTCATTAGCGGGAGACTTTGACACCACATTGTTAATATTCAACGGATCGATGAGATAGAAAATTAACAGGGACGTCTATGATTAGAACTTAGACCTGGAACAAGTAAACTCAGCGAATATTTATAGAATTCTTCACCCCAGTCCACAGAACTTACGTTTTTCTCAGTATCAAACTACACCTATTTTGAAAGTGACCACATAATTGGAAGTAAATCACTCCTAAGCATTTGCATAGCATTTCAGACTTAAATGAAACATTGGTTGACTGTTTGTTATTTTCTTTCCTTATTCCTTCCTGTCTCCGCTGTTAAGCACAATTATCGGCATAAAAGAAGTTTTTAATACCTATTTTTAGATTGCATTCCAGCCTGGGCAATAGAGCAAGTCTCCTGTTCTCTCTTCCCCTTTCTCTTTCTCTTTCTTTAAAAAAAAAAAAAAAACAACCACACACATTATGAATCTTAATAATAAAAAATGAACCAGAATAAAAAACCCAGTTTATGCTAATTCATTCTCCTTACTCTGTAAATGATTAAACATACTGAAACAGAATAATCTTCTGCGTGATCAGATGGTGTATTTTTCCAGCGAGGCTCTTGAGAGCATTGATGCTGATCCCAGATGAGATCAGCAATCTTGGTTGTCGTAATTAGAGCATGATTAATTGATTGTATCGTCAAACATTTTTCTCACCTGCCCGAGCTAAGCAGTTGATAATTGCCTTTAACATACTGCAGAAGTCATTTTTAACCCAAATATTAAATTTAGCTGTGTTCCATGTTTGTATTTGGAAGAATTATGGAATTTGCTTTAATATGAGGCCAAATTGGGTGAAATAAAATGGCGAAAAAAACCCACAGATGCTACTTTTGGGTTGTTCACAGTGAAAAGAAACATTGAGTCCTATGTGACCCATGAAACATTTCAAAATCTGAATGCACAGCTTAGCCCTCGCTGTTAGAAGTCACAGCTAAGTTCGATGGGGCCGGGCTGACGCTCCTGAGCACTCGGTAAACACGGAATGAAGCTCAAGTTTACTCTCATCATACTGCCTTTCACCTCAGTGTATTCTCAATATGCTTAAGTCCCAAAGTGTATAAATAATGATGTATAACAAGGGAATGACACCGATATACAAACCAGGAATGAAAATCTAATCATAAAAAACATAAGCTTAGATCAGACATCCAAAGCAAAGATAAAGCGTGTATAAAAGGAAAAAGCCACTTACAAGAATCCAAAGCTGTTTTGTATATGGTGGATACATTATTTGTAGAAAAAGAAGTCTGATAAAGTATACTTCCTCATCTTTGTTATAAAACATTAATAATATTATTTGAATAGTGATGCACTCTCCCTTGTGTGGATTTAAAATATAATCTATATAAATGTAAAGTGTTTTTATTAGATCAATAAAAGTATCATTTTTATCAGACATTTTACAACATTTATTGAGCAGCCTTCTTAGACCTATGAATTTTAGGTACCAGGGAGAAGGGATTACTTGTTAAGTGGCAATAAATAGCAAATGGAAAAATCCAGCTGGCAAACTTAGAAAAGATAAAAATGTTTCCACCAAAATTAGGCCTGTTAAAAGAAGTTTTATAAAATACAGCAAGATGAAAATAATAAATATGGTAAGTATCAGATGCATTGAATGATTGTAATGCATTTGTCACTTTCTGGAAGTTGTAATTAGTGTAGATTGCGGCTGGAGGCACAATGCTTGCTGATAAGGATATTTGTAATTTCAAGACACTTAATTCCCAGCTTCCTTGGAGGAAAAAATAAGCAGGAAAATTATTACTTTAAATGTAGACAATAGAAAACTACTGGAGGACCTTCACAAATTCTATGCTACCAGTTTAGAAAAAGCCTAAAATCCTTTTGGAAGAGTATTTCTTTCTGATTATGTCAACTGAGGAGATACCAGCTAAGTAAAACACTCTCTTTTTCTAAAAATGTGAAAGTCTTGTACAATCATGCTCCTGTGCATCACAGTATAATAAGAATCTTACCAGATGTGTCACATATTGAATTTGGAGGAATATTTCCAAGTTGAAAATTGCAATTTGTAAAACTGCATCTTCTATTCTTCATGTGCACTTACTATGAGCAGTTGAGATCCTTCCTCCCTAAATACATAAAATGCAGATATTTGAAGCACTTAAAAATGCTTTGTTCTTTTCCTGATGTTCAGAGACAGTGATTTTGTACAATTATATTTTCTTGAGGGTTTGGTGCCCTTATGAGCTGCAATTAGGCAACTATATATATATTTTTTACTATATATTATCACTATATATTGTTTCTGTTTTGACTTCTCCTTTCTCTGTCTTATATGTTAAAAATCACAGAACAAGAAAACATTATTTCCTAATAAAGTTAGACAAAATTAAGTTATATATTTTAACAGCAAAATTGAAATATACTGGCCACATTCATTTAATATGTAAATTGCACATTTAAAACTTACAGAGGAAACTGTAAGAATGCAAAACTTGGGGAACTTTTTATAGTAAGGAAATACCATTTTCTTTGAATTTTGAAGATTATTATTCTCATTATTAAAAATGTTATAATAAGTAAAATACAATTACAATTCAAATATAATATTACAAAATTAACAAAGCATAAGATCGATATAGTATGGCGTCAACATTCATAAAGTTGCCTTTTTTCATTTAGAATCACCTATTGCACTTTGGTGTGATTCCCTGAGACGTGACTGAAGTTATGAAAAGGCAGTGTCCTAGCTCTTCATTGAGAAAATTCTGCCTCATCCCCGCACTCACCTGAGTCTTGAGCTCTCACTGTTATTAATGCTGACAGACAGTTACCCAGCTGAGTCTCTGGAGTGAGTCCATGTTTGTAAGATGAGGCTCACAATATGCGGTTATAAGGAAGCAATGCCATCAGCCCATCCCCTCCAGGCCTATAATTTTCATGTCAACCCTAAAAATAGTACAAGCTTTGGTTTTGTGATTTTAAGAAAGGGAGCCACCAACGGAAAAATGAAACTTTTTGATTCCTAGAAAATACATTAGAAATAGCTGTGCTCCAACTTTCCTATGCGTAAGCTGATTTCCCCAGGTATATGCAGACCAGTGGGTTGTATGCTGCCTGTTCTTATAAACAAAACAGTAATCTCCCAATTACCCAACCTTCAAAATTAGTAAAACACGTCAGATTTTCCACTGCGTTACTCCTGGTTAAAGTAATTCATGGTTGCCCTCACTAATGTTCCCCTGTAATCCCTGATTTCATGGTAAGAGGTAGGCCAAAAGTACCTTTGTGAGAATCAGAAAAATGCCACCTCTACCTGACCTAAATGGGCAAAGTGCCCCATTTTCCTGAGGACACAGTTCGGAGTCTGGGCACCAGACATGGAGCAAAGTGTAGACTGCCATCGCTCACCAGTTTGCCCAGGTACATTTAGAGTATAGCAGTGTACATCTGTTTCAAGCAAGGAATGTTTAATAAAAACTGTCCATGCCAAGAGATGTTTTTTAGATATGAAGTGTCAAAGGGGTATTCCACCACCCTGTCCCTCAGGTTTCCTTACAGCTTCCACACACAGGAATGTTTTACACACACATTTTATAGCAAAGACCTTTTTTTTTTGTTGCTTCTGTGACACCCATCAAATACGGTCCTATTAAAACTAAACTTAACACTAATCATCATTATCACTGCCTATTTGCTTTCTTAGTCTAAGCTGTGTGTTAGATTGTATGTTAAAATTGTGACTTCTATTTTCACAAACCTGTGGGTCTTAGCACAGCGCAAGTGCTCAGCTTCTTTAGCTACAGCATGGCTGTGCTCTCATGCGTCATCTTTAATTCTCTAAAAAGCATGTCCTCCATTTGGCCTAAGTCAGGACCAAACAACTCACAGACCTCTATTGTCCACAAGCTTTATTCTTCCTGGTCTCAGCATCTCAGTCCAACATATCATCACCTGCCATCAATATAATTTTATTTTCCATTCAATTTTAAAACAATTTCATTTCCATTTTTAGATCATAATTTAGTTGCCCTTTCTAAGACTTTCAACTCCATTTAAATCTTTTTGTCTTCTTTCTTTAAAAAAAAAAAAAAAAACCTCCTGCACTGCCCTTTTATTGAGTTGTTTCTCATTCTTGTCCTCATGGCCCTCATGCACACCGCCTCTTTCAAGGAGCTAGCCAACCACCCATTTATCTTTCCTCTTCTTTTACATTCCTACTGACAGTTCTCATTCATCATATGAAATGCATTCATCTCTCCCTCCACATGTTCCTCACCCACCAAGCTTAATCATACTCCTTTTAACTTGCATATTCTTTTGAAAGTAAAAGCAGGGACTACTAAGCTGTATTCCTCTTTTTTCTTTCTCCTTTTAGCCACCTGTAGGAAAGGAGAAAAACTAACTTGAGCCAACATCTTAAAAATACAACCTTGTAAAAACAAAAATCTTTTTGTCTACTCATCGAAGAAAACCTGTCAGGAAATAATCCTCTGAAGGAGAAAGCTATCAATAAAAAATAAAAGCAACATAAGGCCTTTCCAGGTCAACAAAAACTGAGTTGATTTCAGCTAGGTAAAAATATAAACATTAGCTGGGCATGGTGGCAGGTGCCACTAGTCCCAGCTACTTGGGAGGCTGAGGCAGGAGAATCACTTGAACCCAGGAGGTGGAGGCTGCAGTGAGCTGAGATCGTGTCACTGCACTCCAGCCTGGGCGACAGAGGGAGACCTCAGAAAGAAAGGGAGAGAAAGAAAAAAAGGAAAGAAAAAAAGAGAAAGAAAGAAATGTCAAATAACCAAAAAGAAGGAAGGAAGGAAGGAAGAAAGGAAGGAAAAATCAAATAACCAAAGAGAATAATTTGAATCTACATGATATGACCAAAGCACCAGTAAAAACAATCACATCACTGTAGAAGACATCATGTCACTGCAGAAGACATCATGTCACTGCAGAAGACATCATGTCACTGCAGAAGACATCATGTCACTGCAGAAGACATCATGTCACTGTAGAAGACATCATGTCACTGTAAAAGACATCATGCATACATTTTTATTTCTTACATTATTTTTTAAAATGAATGCTATGCATAACAACATATATAAAATTGTATTGTTGGACTAATTACAAATACATGTAATATACTTACCAATAACTGAGCAAAACAGGTCAGTGATAACATGTTTCACAATAAAAATTAGCTGAATATTCTAAAACAATGAGAAAATTCAGAAATGGAAGATAAAAATGTTAATATCAAACGACTTGTAGATATATCTTTGTTCTTTTTTGTTTTGTCATCTTATTTTTAAAAATAAAATTATATAAAATAAGTGTAAAATATTTTTATAGTATATGTAGATATAAGTATAAAATTTATATCACAAAATGAGAAGCAGAAATATAAATACATAGAACTAACATTTGTATAACTCATCAGTATTAAGGTATTATAAATGTAAAACATATTCTGATGAATGAAAGTGTATATCAGAAGCCCTAAAAGAACAAGTGATAGATCCAAATATATATTAAAAATTATTTTTAAAAATGCAATGTTACATAAAAATGCCTTCTTCATGCAAAATGAAGTAGAAAAAGAAATAAAATACACATGTGATATGTAGAAAACAAAAATGATACAAAAAATAAATCCAAATATATAAATAATACTAAATATAAAAAGTTGAATTAAATAAAAATTGAGATTGTTAGACAAAATACAAAATATAAAAATGAGATACAAATATATGCTGTCTACAGCACAATTGCTTTGGATCCAAATAAACAAATTGTGTAGAAGTGAAAGAATAAAAGCTTGCAAAGAGCAGCCATAATGAAATTGTAGTTGCAATTCCACAATTAAAAAAGAATTTAGGCGTGGTGGCTCTTGCCTGTAATCCCAGCACTTTGGGAGGCCAAGGTGGATGGATACCCTAAGTTCAGGAGTTAGAGACCAGCCTGACCAACAGGAAGAAACCCCGTTTCTATCAAAAATACAAAATTAGCCTGGCCTGATAGTGCATGCCTGTAATCCCAGCTATTTGGGAGGCTGAGGCAGAAGAGTCACTTGAACCTGGTAGTGAAACTCCATCTCAATTTAAAATATAAGTAAAATAAACAAATAAAAAGAAATAAACACATGCCTAGGTGTAAAATGAGACATTTAAAATTGACCAAAAAAAGTCAATTCCTTAGGAAGATGTAACAATCATCAACCAACAGGCAAGAAAACAAAATATATGAGGCAAAGTCTGACAAAAATAAATCCAGAAAGAGAGAATAAAAAATAACAGGGATTTAAATACTTCACTCTCAGTAATAATTTGAAAAACAGCCGACAGGTCAAAGAGTAAACAGACTTGAAAACAAAACCACTGAGACCTAGCACATTTGTATCGTCTGTTCCACCTAACAGACATAGACTACACATTTGTAGTAAGTGCCCCTGCACTCTTCTTCAGAATAAACTATATTCTAGGTGATTACACACACAATACAATTAAAAGAATTGTGTAAATGAAAAGTATTTTCTCTGACTGCAATGGAATAAAATTAAAAATAAATGACATCGGGAAATTTGGATAAGCCACAGGTATGCAAAAACTAAGCAATGAAATTCCTAATGGCCAAAGTGTCAAAAACTTTAAAATTGGAAACATTTCAAATGAATAAAAATGTTTACTTAACATAACAAAACATGCAAGATGCAGCAATTAATGGCAGTCAATTTCTTCACGAAAAAGGATTTCAAATCAATAACCTGGGGCAAAGGCATTTCTTTGAAACAAAAAGAAGTCACACTGAAATTCCTAACAGGAAAGAACGGAGAGTGCAATTCTTTGGGAATAAGATCATTAAAAAGTGTCCATATAGTTAAGAGGATCTAGCAGGCAAGGTACAGGATTAGGGCCAGGTGCTGGCTCAGAAAAAAACAGAGCAAGACGCTACTTTCTGACGTCTATTTTACCTTCAGTCTCTGGACAAGCAGAGAGTACAGGGAAAGGCCAAGTTGAAAACATTCTGGTTAAGTGGAAAAGGTGTTCTACAAGAGACACACAGAACACAGTTTTCAGAACTTGGAACTTTTTGCATTGGTAAATTTATTTATTTCTGTTAGTAGGTTATTCTATAATTGACACATAATTTCAACTATTTATAGGGTATAGTGTAATGTTTCAAAACATGTACATTGTGTTATGATAAAGTGGGGGTAATTAGCCTGTTCATCATCTCAAACCATTATCATTTCTTTCTAGTGATAAGTTTCAAGTTACTGTTTTCTAGCTATCGCAAAATGTATGCTGTAATTATACCACAGTTGTTATAGTCACCCAACTATGTAACAGAACACCAGAAGTTACTTTTTCTATCTAACTGTAACTTTGCACCCAATGAATGGCCTCCCTTAATCTTTTTCTTCCCAGACCCCTCCCCAGACTCTGGTAGCCACCAGTCTACGCTTACCTTCTGCAAGATCAACTTTCCTATATTCCACCTTTAGTAAGCTCATGCAGTATTCGTCTTTCAGCCTATGGTTTATTTCATTGAATATCATATTCTCTAGGTTCATACACATTGCCACAAATGACAGTATTTTATTTCTTTCCATAGCCAAACAGTATTCCATTGTGCATCTATACCACATTTTATTTATTTATTTATTGACGGACACGTTTTGATTTCATCTCTTAGCTGCTAGGAATAGTGCCGGAAGAAACATCATAGTGCGAATACCTTTTTGACATACGAATTTTAATTACTTTGGCTATAGAACCGTAGTTCAATAATAAGCCATATGTCAGCTCTATTTTTGACTTTTTGAGAAATCACCACACTTTTTTTTATAATGATGATACTAAGCTACTTCCCCACCAACAGTGTCAAAGACTTTTCCTCTCAGTGCATTCTCACATGATTTGTTATATTTTGTCTTGGGAGTAGCCATTGTTACTAGGGTGGGATGGTATTTCACTGTAGCTTTAATTTTCATTTTCCTTAAAGTTGGTAATGTTGAGCATTTTGCTATGACCCTGCCAGCCATTTGTACACCTTTTTGGGAGAACTGTCTAGTAAGGTACTTTGCCATTTTTTTAATTGGATCATTTGTTTTGTTTTGTTGTTTGTTTGCTGGTTAGTGGTTTGAATCCTTTACATACTCTGGATATTTGTATAGTTAGCAAATGTTTGCTCCCATTCTGTAGCTTGTCTCTTCACGACATTGATTGTTGTGTTTTCTTTGCACGTTTTTAGTTGGATATAATCTATTTGCCTGTATTTTCTTCTTATCTATGCTCTTGAGGTCCTATGCTTTTGAGGTCTTTAAACGGAGTCATGGAAGTCATAGAGAATTTCCCATTTGTTTTCTTCAAGTAGTATTATAGGCTTGGGTTGTATACTTAAGTTTTTAATGCATTTAGGTGGATTTTTAATATGGTAAGAAATAAGGGTCTGGTTTTATTAGTCTGCATGTAGATATACAGTTTTTTCTAGCATCATTTATTGAAGAGACTATTTTTCCCCAATGTGTGTTCTTGGCACCTTTGTCAAAAAATCAGTTGTCTTCTTAGTGTGGATTCATTTCTGGGTTCCCTAATCTGTTTCACTGGTCTAAGTGTCTGCCGTTATTACCAGTACCACGTTATTTTTGTTACCATAGATTGGTAGTATGTCTTGAAGTTAGGTGATGCGATGTGTCCAGCTTTGTGTATGTTCTTTCTCTCAAGATTAGTTTCGCTATTTTGGTTGTTTTGTTTTTGTTTGTTTCATTTGAATTTTATTATGTTTTCTATTTCTATAAAGAATTTCATTGACGTTTTAATGAAAATTGTCATAAATTTGTAGACCATTTTTGGAAGTGCAAACATATTAATTATTCTTCAAATATGAAGGTAGAATATCCTTTTTTTGGTAACTTTAATTGTTTTCATCAGTGTTTTATATTATTTTACATTACTTTTAATAGCAAAAACTGCAACTACTTTTGCACCAACCTAATTATTATAGATATCTTACACATTCTTGGTTAAATTTATTCCTAGGTATTTTATTTCATTCTCTAGCAATTATATATAAGACTGCTTTCTTAATTTCTTTTTCAGATATTTTGCTATTGACATATAGAAATATTAATTATTGCTGGGCACGGTGGCTCATGCCTGTAATCCCAGCATTTTGGGAAGCCAAGGCGAGCGGATCTCGAGGTCAGGAGATTGAGATCATCCTGGCTAACACAGTGAAACTCCATCTCTACAAAAATACAAAAAGTTAGCTGGGTGTGGCAGCCGCACCTGTAGAAGAAATCGGGTAATTTTATAACCTTGCTCCACATAAAGAAAAACTGAAAGGTGGTACTAATAAATGCAAACTACATCACCTGGAAAATGGGAATCCAAAATGTCATTTTCAATATTTAAGTGTTGGAACTTTTGATAAAAATAAATGTGGTAAAATAAAACTTTTGGTAGGCTTTGCATAGCTTAATATCAGCATAAAGTAGGGAGGAAAAATCTTAAAAATAAATACAAACAATAACCTACACATACACACACCTCAAAAACTAACATCCAATGCATATATATTAATCTTTGTGTTGGGAGAGTCTAAAGCAGAACATTTGATGAACCTGATACATTTATTTTTACCATATTGGCACACTGATAAAATCATCTATATTTAATTTGAATAAAACATGTCTGCATCTTAAAAATACTGCTTTGTATTATGAATAGCCAATGTAAAGTCTTTATCCCGATAAGTATCCCGATTCTCAACCCAATATATATGGCAACCCATTCCTCTGGTTTCAAGCTGAGCCCTCATGAAGGCTCAAATATGGAGTGAGAGAAACCCAACAAGAGTATGTGAAATAAGGGTGGGGTAGGATAGTCAGTTCTAAGGCTCAGAAATTGCCTGGGTGACCCCAATATATGATGTCAACTGTAAAGTCTACTAAATAAAAATAAACATAAAAAGCTGAAACTGCCAGGGGTGGGCATCTGTGAAAGTCTCTGGAGTTATAAGCAGTTGTGCCAAAAGGACTGAGCCAGAATGACATGAATTTAAGGGTTAAGGCAAATGTTACTAGCACATAAATATTTGTTCCAAATTTTATTACAGTAGCAATATCTGTTTCAGTAATGTCAGCTTCCTCAAGCTAGGGATGCCACAGACAAACTAAGACAAGTGCCTAATATGTTGTAGGCAATCAGTTTCAAAATTCAACAAACTGGCAATAAACTCTGTTTCGTGAATAAACCTCATTGAAAGGCACTATCCAGTAGCTGTAGCCTTCAGATTTTTCTGGGATTTTCTGTTGCTGGATTCCAAACCAATCTTATGTGAATCCTAGTCATTTCTAAGTCCCCAGATTTAGTAAACAAAAAAGCAGAAATTAAGCCAAATTACCCCAAACAGTCCATATCTAATATATTTGCTTTCCCCCCAAAAGAACCAAGTATGTAAAATCCAACCTAAATTCAAAGGTAGCAGTTAACACCATATGCAAAAATTAGCAAAGTCATAACGTAGAAACTCAGTCTGTTACTCCAGAAAAAATAATAACATTCTTATTTTGGCATGTTTTTGGAAAGAATATGACAAAATATATCCACTAAAATATAATAAAGTATCTTTGAAATATGAATGATTTTCTTATTTTTAAATATTTACTCTAATATATTCAGACAAGACTTTCAGTGAAAATGTTTATAGCTACCATATATGAATTAAAACAGCCCCAGAGGAAATAGCATTTTTTATTAATAATAAAGATTGAAGCTCCAAGTGATAAAGCAGGAGCACCATCATCTCAGACAAACACCACCACACCACCACTTGAAATTCCAGCTCCCTTTCTAGCCTCATGTATTTCAAGGAAATCACCTTTTTTTTTTTTTTGAGACGGAGTTTCACACTGTTGACTGCAACATTGCATTGAGTTTCAGTGCAATGGTGCGATCTTGGCTCACTGCAACCTCCACTTCCCGGGTTCCTGTGATTTGCCTGCCTCAGCCTCTTGAGTATCTGGGATTACAGGTGCACACCACCACATCTGGCTAATTTTTTGTATTTTTTTTTTTTTTCAGTTGAAATGGGGTTTCACTATGTTGGGCAGACTGGTCTTAACTCCTGACCTCATGATCTGCCCATCTCAGCCTCCCAAAGTGCTGGGATTACAGGCATGAGCCACTGCATGCAGCTGGAAACCAATTCTCTTCTAACTAGAAGCAGCCAGAAAGGGCAGACAGTTAAACACAGATGAGAAAGCTTGAGGCAAGTGCGCTGGCTCATTCCTGTATTCCCAGCACTTTGGGAGACCGAGGTGGATGGGTCACTAAGTCAGGAGTTCAAGACCAGCCTGGCCAGCATAGTGAAACCTCATGTCTACTAAAAATACAAAAATTAGCCAAGCCACATGCCTGTAGTCCCAGCTACCCGGGTGGCTGAGGCAGGAGAACTGCTTGAACCCAGGAGGCAGAAGTTGCAGTGAGCCGAGACTGCAACATTGCACTCCAGCTTGGGTGAGAGTGAGACTCTGTCTCAAAACAAAAAAACAAAAACAAACAAAAAACAGCACAGCTCTGGCACTGAGGGAGGTGGGGGGAAAGTCTCCTGAGTAACTGCTAAACCTCACCCTCATAGAGTGGGCCCTAGTAAAACACTGGGTCTTCATAAGCATATTCCTTTCCTTTCAGGTGCACTGAGACAGGGAAGCTAAAAGCAGACTCAACCGTTATCCCTGTAGCTGCAGAAAGATGTACAGGATCAGACACACGACTCTCTTCCGGACAAGCACAACAAAGAGACCCAGCAGCAGTCCAAACCTCTGGCAAACTCAACCACGCTGAATCCTTAAAAACTCTTAGTCTGTAAAAGAGTGTGGCTCTGACCTAACTCGGCCGGCTGCCTCTCTCAGGTTTATTAAAAATAAACCTGTCCCTGTTGACTGTCAAGCCACCCTTCATATTTCTCTCCTCTTTCTTTAATTCTTACACCAAGGATATAAAATAATTTCTTCTGGGAACATAGCTAATGACCCAAATGAAGCTCAAGTGAAATTATTTAACATTCATAATTTATATTTTAAAAATAAAATACTCCCGGTTATTAAAAAAGATATAAAAACAAATGAAAGAACAGAAATGGGTTACTCACATTATCTAAGGTATGGAATCAACCTAAGTGTTTCATCAACAGGTGAATGGATAAAGAAAATGTGGTATCTTTACACAATGGAATGCTACTCAGTTTTTTTTTTTTTTTTTTTTGAGACAGAGTCTCGCTCTGTCACCCAGACTGGAGTGCAGTGGTGCAATCTTGACTCACTGCAACCTCGGTCTCCCAGGTTCAAGCAATTCTTGTGCCTCAGCCTCCAGAGTAGCTGGGATTACAGGCGTCCACAACTACGGCTAGCTAACTTTTTTGAATTCTTAGTAGAGACAGGGTTTTACCCTGTTGGCCCAGCTGGTCTTAAACTCCCGACCTCAGGTGATCTGCCCACCTTAGCCTCCCAAAGTGCTGGGATTACAGGCATAAGTCACCACACCCAGCCACTCAGCCTTTTTAAAAAAAAACAACTTGTTATTTGCAACAACATTGATGAACCTGGAGGACAGGATGCTGAATAAAATAAGCTGGCACAGAAATAAACTCATAATATGTAGAGTGTAAAAAGATTTAAACACATAGAAGCATAGAGCAGAATGATGATTGCCTGGGGCTGGGAGTGGATGAAATGTTGGTCAGAAGTATTGGGTCTGATTTTGTGAAGAGAGGAAGACTGAGCAGTTGTGGCCGCCTTACCAACCTGGAGCAGCAGCCGGCTTCTCCACAT